GCAGCCGCAAGCGCTGGCGGCGCCGCCGCTGGTCGAGCTGCTGCTGCCGGCGACGCGCGCGGCGCTGCGGTCGGAGGACCTGGAGCAGTGCAGCGCGGCGCTCCTGTGGGCGCAGCAGCTGGCGACGGCGCCGTTTGTCGAAGCCGGTCCCGCGGCTGGACCGCCGGCCGCGGCGGCGCCGGCGGCGCCGCCTCAGCAGCAGCACCCGGCGCCGCCGCAGCAGCTCTGGCAGCCGCAGGCGCCCGTTGCCGCCGCCGCGGCGGCTGCGGCAGCCGCGCTTGCCGCTGCCACGTGGCGGCAGCAGGAGGAAGCACGCCGGCGCGCCGCGCTTGGTCAGCTGCGGGTGCGGCTCGAGGCCGGGTGGGAGGGCGCGCACATTGTCCTGGCCCTCTTGCTGGCAGCCGGCGGCGACATGCCGCCCGACGTGATACTGGCGGTTTCGACCTGCCTGCACTCCATCTGGCGCGGCGTCGGGCCGCAGTTGTTCGCAGCATGGCTTGAGGCGGCCTTGCTGCGGCTTGCGCCGGCGTCGGCGCCGTGGGCCCGTGGCAGCCGGGCAGCCAAGCTCGTGTTCCTGCGAGATCTGACAGACAGTTCGAACTACCACGATCTGGGCCGGTTCAAGCGGTGCGTCAAGAGCTTCTGCGGCGGCAAGAAGGCGGCCGGCGGCCGGTGATGTCACCCTGACGTCAGCAGCTGACTGATGCAGGCGGCCATGAGGGCACGCCGTTGGGGCGAGGCGACCATCGCCCTTGGCCTGATGGCTCAAATAAACATATCATAGCTCGGAATTGCATGCGTGTTGAACCTGGGAAGGGGTCATCAGACGCGGTGGGATGCGTGTTGAATGGATCAAACGCCGGGCTCCTTGCAGGCCAATTGATGCTTAGGCAGCCACGCGTGCGTTGACGTCTGATCGCTGTACTGCGTGACATGCCCTGCGCCCCTGTGCGGATGGGGACCCGTGCCCGCAACATCTGCTGGGTAGGCAAATGCAGGGGCTGCGTGCCCAGCAGTCAACACTTCCGTAAGGGCCTTGCCCCTGCTCGCCACTTTGACACTGTGTCACGCACTCCTATTGTCCAGGGCGCCAATCCCCTCGTCTTTCTAGGCCTGCCCTGCCGCCGCGCAGCAACGCCACGTTTGATCCCGCTGGAGGGTCCTTGCACACTGCACCTGCATTAGTTCCGCTTTCTTGCGCTGCTTTCCTGGCCCGTTTGATGGTTGCCCCTCGCAGCCGCGCCACCTCCGGACACACACCTCCAGGGCACCTGCGCGCTCCCATATGTGCGATGGGCCGTGCGCGGCGACACTTGGAGGGAGGCGCGCTTGACAACCGTTCTACCCAAGGAGGCATGCGCCCTCTAGACCGCAGCACCCCTTCTGACTCGTTGTTAGCTGTCATCTGGTCGCAGGGCCGGACGCCACATCGTTTTCTAATCATCCAGGGTTTTCCTCTCCCAGCGGTTTCGCAGTTGGTGCCGGTGAAGCGCAAGATGATGCAATGTGCTGAGCAGCGTGCAGGCGCGCTCTGCGGCATGTCCCCGCCGGCTGAGCGGCCGGAACCAGTAATTGCCTGGGTGGACGTGCCGCTCCATCCTGCGGCCATCCCTCAATGCAGATGCCTATTTGAGCGAGCACACCAGTGTCGCTCAAATGCCGGTGCCGCCGTTGGCCTCCGCGGCTGCGGCCCCTCCCCTCTTTTCTTGGTTCCCTCGATCCCCCTGCATCAGCGCGCGCGGCTCGCAGCGCACCTCGGACTGACTGCGGCGCGTCGGCTGTTTATAACCGGCGTGCGAGATGTGTCGAAGATGTTGCGTCTGCACCCCCTTGTTTATTTCCAAATAGGTATCAACCAAGAAGCATGGTCACGACAGATTGGTTGCCAGCTGCGGTGCGCACTCCCACCGTCTGTCGCACAGGTGGCTGGGACCTGCGAGGGATGGGAGGGTGCTTTGCCCACATGAACCTGCCACCTGCGGTGCGGCCTGCATGCGAAAGGGATGGATGCCGGGTGGGCATGTTTCTTTGGGCAGGAAAACACGACTACGGCGGCGCGCAGCCGCGAGCAATCGGTGTAGTGCTGATGTCTGTGCACTCATGTAGGGTTATGATGGGAGATGGAGGGTTCACAGGAGCATTGCGAAACAATATATTCCAATGCCATAAGCCACTGGGCAAGGCAGTGCACCTGCAAGAGGCCCAGCTTGAGCCGGACCGCCAATGATGGGCGTGATGGATGATGGGACCCTCAACTGCGACCAGGCAGCCGCACAAACCAGGCACAAACGGTGCAGTCAGCCGGTGTATGGTAGTCAATCATCATATCATTCATCCTGAAGATCACAGGTGACATTCAAATCAGTTTGCGGGACTTCTTACCGGTATCAGCAACGGGTGGGCCGGTTGTTGAGCCCCACAGGTCTTGTGTCAGATCACATAACAGCCTGGTGTACACGTCTGTAACCATCATGGGAGGTATACATATACCTATTTAATTACCGTAATCAGGGAATCGCCGCAGCCTTTCATAATTGTCCGATGATGCAGCCTGAGGCACTCGCGCCCGCCTGAGCAGCGTGATTGGGCAACCACAGCACTGTAGCTGTCAACGATCATAACCTTCACCAGTTTAGAGCTGCACTTCGGCATGCAGGTGCGTGCGAGTGCAAGCTGTGCATTCCCTACTGCGTGTGCAATCAGCACGGCCGGCGGCGCGTTGACCCCCAGCCATCCTCGCGCCCACCGCAGACCAAGACGCGCAGCAAGCCCGCTGCTGCGCCGTCGCCGCAGAAAGAGCGGCGCGGCAACGCGACACAGGGCTTGGGCACGATCGGCCGCGGCGTGGAGGTTAAGAAGAGCTCGATCGCCTTGGCTGGCAATGGGCTGTTTGCGGCGCGCCCCTTTGCCCGCGGCGACCTCATCACCGAGGTCAGTGAAGCCGCACCTTCTCTCGTTGTGAGGGCCCACCTGCTGCCTCGCCATCATGTCATGATACGCAACCACGGCGCCCCGATGCTGGCACGGAGGGGACAGCCGCAACCCGCAGCAGCGCCGGCCAAAGCCTGCGCAGGGAGGGCGCCCCCAGACTCACGCGCGCCGCCGCCACGCCTTGGTTCATCACCGCTGTTACCATGCGCAGTACGTGGGACGCCTGATCAGCCACGAGGAGGCGCAGCTGCTGCGCGCGAGGCGCGCGCACACCCACGTGCGGGTGCTCGACATGCGTCACGCGTATGTGAGCGCCGCATGGGCCGCCCGCATCATGGGCATGCCGTGCACGCATGCGCGCGGCTTTGGAATGCATGCACGCGCCTGGCATGCATGGGCTCGCCATGCATGCATGCATGGTACCCTTGAATCGCATGTCTGTGATCCAGGCCCCTGGGAAGGCTTGGCCAGTTGTTGCACAGTTTGACCAGCCACTTGGCACGCATATCCAGAGATGAGGTTCACAAGGCCGCGTGCGCCGCCGCCTGGCACCGCCCTGCGGCTTTGCGGCCGCACAGGAGCGGCCCGGCCGCCGCACAGGAGGGGCCCGGCCGCCGATCCGGCGAGTGGGGCGCCTGCGTGGCGGCGCCGCTCACGTGCACTTTTAACCTGGGCCTCGCCTCACCTCATCCCGCGGCAGATCGACGGCCTCAAGGACCCGCAGCCGGGCGAGGGTGGAGGCTCATTTGCGAACGATGCGCGCGACGGTGCCGCCATCAACAGCGCGTACGACACGAGGTGTGCCCGAGTGGCGGCGGCGCAGGGGCCGTCCAGACGCACGCGCTGCAGCACGGCCGTCTGTGCTGCCCCAGGCCATCTTCGCCGCGCAGCCCTTCACTTTCGGATGCTGCATGACCGGACGGAGGCCGCTTGCTGCCGGTTTGCATGCCCTGGCGTCTGATATTGGCAAAGCACGTCCTTCACTATCACCGCCGCCCACCAGGTTCGACCGGCACACTGCGCGGTCCCGGGTGTACCTGCGTGCGCTCCGCGACATTCGGCCTGGAGAGGAGGTGGGACGCGCCTCGCAGCACGCGCTGCGCCGCGCCGCACCACGCCGCGCGTTGCTCCGCCACGGCCGCCCCTCGCCCTCCTGCGCCCGCCTGTGCAACCCTTGCTTCGCGTGCGGGCAGGGAGCGAGTGGGTTGGCGCTGCCGGCGCGTCCCAGGTTCATGCGTTGCTTGATTGGGGGGCATGTGCCAGCGGGGACGCGCTATGGTTTTAAATACATGTGTGCACATACGGTACGTGTAGGTGTGCATGCATCCAACGCGCGTACTCGCGTTTGCATGCATTCATACAGGTGTTTGTGAGTTACGGCTCCCATTATTGGCAGTCCTTCCAAGCAGCAGCCAGCCCGGAGGCTTCAAGACCTAGTTGCGCAGCGGCAGCAGCAGCAGGGACAGCAGCAGCAGCAGCAGCTGCGCGAGCAGCGGTCTCAGCAGCGGCCGACGGCGCGCACGACGGCCCCTCTCGCCGCAGCGCGCGCGTGCGTGCGCGGGCGGATGCGGAGGCGGAGATGGACGCTGTTGTGTGTGCAGCGGACGAGGGCGGCGACTGGGCATGGGAGGCGCTGCAGGCGGTCTCTCAGGCGCGGGCGCACCGCGCGGCGGCGCGAGAGCTTCTGCGAGACGGTGGCGGCGGCAGCCAGCGCGCGGCGCCCGGCGCCTGCATCGCGGCGCACGGCTGCAGCGGCAGCGGCTCCGCGGCGAGGGGCGCGGGGCTGCGGGCGGGGCGGGCGCAGGGGTTGCAACGGGGCTGCGATGGGGAGCAGGCCCGAGGCTTACGGGAAGCCGGCAAATCACAGCGACAGGAGCAGGGGCAGGCAGAGGCGGTCGCTGCAGACTCCCAGCGGATGGACCGCCCGAGGCGGCATCATCATCAGCAGCAGCCGCTGCTGCCGCTGCGGCCAACCCAGCAGCGAGGCGGCGAGCCGCAGGGGGTGGCTGCGCGAAACGCGCGGGGCGCAGTGTGCAGGGCAGCCGCGGCTGTGCTTCCAGGGGCTGCCTTACGAGACAGCGGCCACCAGCGGGGGGCGACGCCGCCGCCGAAGCGCGCACGGCGGTCGATGGACATGGGGGAGGTGGTGGAGCAGGCGCATGGCAAGCAGCGCGGCGGCCGAAGCCCCGCGGGGCTGGTGCGGCCCGTGCCTCATCAGCCACAGCAGCAGCAGAAGCAGCAGCAGCAGCAGCAGCAGCAGCAGCAGCCACCGGGACAACAGCAGCATAATCAGCAGCTGCCAGAGGAGGATCGCGGGCCGCAGGCGCCTCAGCAGCAGCAGCAGCGGCAGCAGCAGCGGGCGGGCGTCCGTCGCATCTCAGCCCTCGCACCACTCAGCTCCCCTCGGCGGCGGCCTCCCGGGCTCCGCTCTCCGGGGTCTTCGGCGCCGGGGGCGCTGCGGGCTAAATTGACGGCGGCCAGCGCCGGGGGCGGCGCGGGCGGCGGCGGCGCGCGGCGGCGAGGCGCCCGGGCGGCGGGCATCGTGCGGGTGCACCTCAACCTGTGATGTGCTCTGGGGCGTCCTTCGCCGTTGCTTCCACTTGCTTGTTGCCATCATTGTGCCCTTCAGAACCCCTCCGAAAATCGTGACCTTGGGCTTGGTGCAAAAGCTTGCAGCCAACCCTGTTATAATCTGCAGCATGCTGCAAAGCTATTTGCACTGGATGCTGAACGCGTTGGCGGCGGTGACAAGTCATCTTGCAGAATCGGGCAACTTGCTGCCACACCACAGCCCCTCTGGCCGGCGCGGCTCAGGGGTCCTTTGTCAGCCGGTGGGTTTTCTCTCTACACGGGCCATTTGGGAGAGCGGTCAATGTTGGGCGCCTCCCGCCAACTAATTCGAAGTCGACTGTTGGGAGGCAGCAAGCATTCTGCGACACCTGCAGGCGCACCTGGGCAGCGGGGCTGGGGCTGGGGCCCGTCAGCGTTCCAGCGTGCAGCCCGTGCGCACGGTCCGCTGCCCGCCCCGCTTCTGGTATCCGAGGCGCCGCGGTAGCGTCAGCGTTTGGCTAAGGAAATGGCGGCCTGCTCTCGTGAAGTTTCAAGAGCGGTTACATCAGCCGCCTGGTTGTTGACAGCAGCTGTGGGTTTCTATGAAGGGACACGCCGTGAGGCCTGCACGCAAAACGAGTGATTATGAAATGCAAGAAAGCACGACTAGCGCGCACGCAGCACAACACCGCAGCCAAGGACTCAGTCGCCAACTTGCTGCGCGGCGCAAGGGCCTGCGTGTGCCGGGGGTTTGCATAGACCGCCACGCATATGGTTGCAGCGGCGGCGCCGTGCCGGACCCCAAACGACGACACGCTGTGCGACAGGGCCTGATAACCTCGAAAACCTCGAAAAATGGGGTGCATGCTGATGCATGCATGCCATGCATGCCCTCCAATCAGGCAAAAGCGAGCAGTGCAGCCCTGGCACGCACCAGCAGCCGCCCTTTGGCTGCTTCGGCGGCTGCAAATCAACAAGAAAACCGGCGCCGGGCAGCCGGGCGCAAAAACCCATGCGGTTGCATAACGGCGCGTGCACTGCTGAAAATCCCACGCGGGCGCAAACAAATAATTGCGCTCTCTCGCCTTGCTTGCACCCGTTTGTGCATCGAGGACCGTGTAGGGGTGCGTGGTGTAAAGAGACCTGTGTGAAGTGAGTAAGCCACTGCAACGGCTGGCACGCTGCGCCCCACTTGGGAGAAACCACCACGGCAGTTGAGGGGCCGTGCCTTGAGTCAACGCCGCCTGACCCCCCGCGACGCTCGGTTCGAGGCATTCACGGGCAACATACAAAGGGTGGAATGCACGCACACGCGTCCTGATGGAAGACGATAGGTTGCAACGACACTGAACTCAGAAGGGGGAAGTGGGCGGTCAGGTCGCCTGGCCTGGGGGTCTGTTGTGGGGATGACATCACTTCAACGTGGATGTGTTGGTTGGGCTGGCTTGCTAAAGCCTTAGTCATCAAGACGTAAGTGCAACCAATGCATTTGCAGCCGAAGGCAGACGCGCACGAGGGCGTCGCGTAAAGCTGCTGGGGCGGGGCGCACACAAGCGGCGGCAGGCTCGTCCAACAATATGATGGCGGCCGCGGCACGCTGGGCACGGCTGGCAGGAGCACGGGAGTGAACGCTGCAGCCGTGGCGCCCGCTCAGTGCTCCTCTTCTCGACTCAAAACAAACCTGCATAATGGTAGCACATGTGAGTACCCGCAGCCTGTGCTGGCGCATGGTAACACATCCAAGCTGCTACGCACGGACAATCATGTACGGCTGAACAGCAGATGGCAGCGCCACCACCCAACTGGGGGGCGCCACAAGGGGCGCCGATGCAAACGGTGATGCCAAGGCTGGATTGGCCAGTGCGGGATTCTGCAATCACATAGCATCCGGGGTGAGGGTGCGACGAGGAGTTGCGCATGTATGTGACCTCGGTGCTGTTGGTGTGACACCTCCTGGTAGACAATACAGAAGCATAAACGCTTCCTCGTCCTTGTCCGGTCCTGACGCAAGTGTTGATTCTCCTCGGTGGGTGGCTGATACCAGGCCTCAATTTCGCCGGCCCATGTAAAGTCACGAGCCTGCAGGTGGCCCCTCGACACACGCAGCCTCTGGGGGCGGGGCAGGCGCAGCGGGCCACGGGGCTCCGCACGCCAGCGCCCCCTCAGAGGAGTGCTGCCCGCAGCCGCTTCGGCGCAGCCGGGGCAGCGGCCGGGGCGGCGGCCGGCTCGGCGGCCGCCGGTGCGGCGGGTGTTGCAGCGGCGGGCGCGGTGGGGGTCGTCAATGGGAACCGGTCGACGCCGTGGACGGCGCTGCGGCCGGCGATTAGGTTCATCTGCACAACCTTGGACGCGCCCTTCGGATCCGAACCCGCGGGATACACAAGGATCTCCCCGGCCTTCGTCGATGGGTCGACCTCGGCCCTCACAACGAGCGGCGCCCCCCACGCGTCGCCGCTCAGCGTGCGCAGCGGGCCGGCGCCCTCGAACCCGCCGGGCGCGAGCAGTGCGCCGCGCGGCACGACGAGGGCCGCGGGCGGCGGCGGGGCGCCGGGGAGCGCCGCGTAGGCCGCGTCCGTCGGCGCGAAGACAGTCCAGGAGGTCTTGGGGTCCGCGGCGGCGGCGGCGAGCGCGGGCGCCGCGGCGACCTGGGACTTGAAGCGGCTTGTGGCGTTGAAGAAGGAGAGGGCGTCCATGATCGTAAAAAATACGCTGTTGGGCAGCAGGACCTGTTTCAACAACGGGCGTCCATGCATCGCGGGGGGGGTGGTTGGGAGGTCAGTTCGCAACTGACGGGGCACCAGCCGCGGCGTTTGAGCCGGCTCAGCCCACCAGAGGTGTGATTGTGAGGGCGATGACTCGCACTCGCCGCGGCCAGAGGGTACCAGGAGCGCCGGCAGCGCCCGCTGCGCTGCCGCGCTGCAGGGAGGGTTTGCAACCCGCGCTGGAACGGAGCCCGCAACATGCAGACCCCGCCGCCGCGCCCGCACGTGTAGAAGCCACCGGGAGCTCGGCAGCCTGCCGGCGCGCACCTGGTCGATCACGTGCACGAAGCTGCGGCCGGCCTCGAGGTACTTTACGAGGTTAGCGCCGTTCTGGGGCCCCGACACCGCCAGGTCCAGCTTCTGCGGCCCCTTAACCTCGAACGTGAGCTCGCCGCCCTTGAACGGCCGAGCGACTACAGGGGCGGCGCCGCGCAGGCCGTCCTCGTCGTACGAGGTTGGGATCAGGTGGACGCCGGCGATGGCGGCGGCGAGGGGTCCGAGGTTGAGCATCGCGTCGACCGAGGGGAAGCCCATTTTCTTGGCAAAGGCTTTGAAGGCCTGCGGCGAGGCGGTTTGGTGGGTCGGTGTGTAGTTGAGCGGCAACCGAATGCGGGACAAAGATTGTGATTTAGGGGCAGGCTGAAGGGTACAAAGAGTGGACATAGATTGGGACACGCCGGCGGCAGCGCAACGAGTTCGCCACCACCTCCAACGTACGAGCGATTATCAGTGAGCTCCCATCCCTTCTGCCAACAGGTGGGTCTGAGATGCGGCAGGGGCGGCCCACACACACTCGTGTCGCCCACGCAAGCACGCGCGCGCGCGGCGGGGCCGAGGGCGGCAGCGGCCAACCCCTTCTCCACCTCCTCCCCCCTCCTATCCCTGCCGTTGCAGCCGCTTGGCGGCTGCCCCCACCTCGTCCGACGGCGCGAGCAGCGTCCCCTTGAACAACGGAGCGTCCAGCGCCTTGGCCAGGCCCGCCGCCTGCAGCAGCCGCGCCATGACTGACAGCTCGTCCTCGGCGTCCACGGCGCGCTTTATGGTCTCGGTGGATCCGACGGCGATGTCGGGCAGCAGCACGTTGTCGATGACGTGGAGCGTGCCGGCGCCGACGAGGTAATCGCCAGAGATCACCTGGACGGGCGTCCGAGGTTGCGCAAGGTTGTGAGGCGGCGCGCGTGTTTGTATCCTTTCGAGTGCTGTGGAAACGAAGCGAGCTCTGAATAATTCGCAAGGGACGGCTGGCTCCCGGCTTGTGCGGGGGTGCCGTGTGTGCAGCTAAGGAGCTGGTTCCTGAACGCTGCATTTTGTTGCGTGGCAGGGACCCCGGAGGCGCCCCTTGCCTGGCCCAGCAAGGCGCTCAATTCACCACACAAACCCCACTGTGCACGCCCCACCAGGCGCGCCCCCAGGACTGGGATGGACACCCCATCCAGGCAACAATTCACACTGGACTTCACACCCCTCGCCAAACTTCACACCTTGGCATGGTCTCGCACGTTGAGGGCACCCCACACATAAACGTCCTCGGGCCCCTCCCCGCCGCCGCCGCTGCCGCCGCCGCCGCCGCCGCCGCCGCCGCGCTCCTTGCCCGCCACCGCGGCCGGCGGCGCTGTGCCGTGAAAGATGGGGGCCGGCGTCCCGAGGATCGACAAGCCGCTCCTCAGCGGGCTCGCCGGCGGCGCCGCGAGCACCTGCCGCAGCGAATACGGCTCCGGGGACGAGTGGAAGAAGAGCAGGTACTTGATGATGGGCGCGTTGAGGAAGCTGCCCGCGGGGACCTTGTCGCGCTTCAGATACGCGTCGATCCCGAGGTTGGTGGGCGCGAGGATCATCCCGGAAAACGAGGCGTCCCGCGCGCGCGCGGCGGCGGCGGGGTTGGCGAGCGTGAGCTTGGCCCAGGTCGAGATGGCGGGGATCGCGGCAAACGCGGCCGCGAGCGTCGGGAAGACGCCCTCAGGGACGAGCACCGCGTCGACCGCAAACGCGGCCGGCGCGGGCGGCCGCCGCTGCGCGCCGGCGTCCCGCTGGGGCGCCGGCGGGGCCGGCGCGGCGGGGAGGGGGATGGGGGTGGTGGAGACGATGCGCGCGGCGCCGGCGGGGCCGGCGACGATGAGGCGGCCGGCGGCGTCCCTGGGAGAGGGCCGAGGGGGGTGGCAGCGCAGGCATCATGTCGTGTTCGCCGAGCAGGGTCTGCGCGATGGATACTTGAGATGGACAGCAAAACCCTGCCTCAGAGGCAACTCCATGGCCAGGGCAGCTGCACCTTCACGTCAGGCACGACCCGCCCCCCTCCCCTCCCACCCAGTCGTGGGCCAGCTGCGCACGCCGCTTCCGCCCAAGCGGCCCCCGCACCTGCTCAGAGACAGCGAGCCGCCTTCCAGGGTCGCCAGCGCTTCTGCAGCCTGCAGTCTCCGCCGCCCCGCGCCGCCGCCCGCGGCCCCGCCGCCGCGGCC